TTTTTTTTCATGAAAAGAAAAAAAAAGGCACGCGTAATTTTTTCTTCAGTGCGAAAGCTCTAAAGGTCCTTTATTTAAATAGAGTGAAGTCAGGTCGGGCTGCTTAAGTACACGTCACGAAACCATGAAAATTAATCGTTTGAGGAATTTCCCTCGCGCTTACTCTGCCATCCTGTTAACGAATGAATAAACTTACGCGTCTATTGAACACTGTCTCCAACCAGATCTAGCGCACACTGAGTAATCATCAGCATTTTAGTCTTAACATTAATATTCGTACAAAAAAAAAGCTTAACCAAAACATTCATGCTTTTCAACTGAAAAATCTCAGCTCCCAGGCAATGTGCCACTTTATTCTTAATGGATGGAACGATTCCGGAATCATTCCAGTTGCGGAGTGGCAACTCCGCAACACCGGTTTCTACACCAAAACCCGTTTATAACAGATTGGTGTATGTGCAAGCAATTGTTGGCTGTGGAAGGTTGTGAACAAAAACTGATTAGCGCAGACTAGACGAAGAAATATTTGACCATTCAACGTGGTTTCATGCGCATACGTTGCGCAAACGTTGCTCTGTGTTGCCGACCCAAACTGAATTCATGGACGAAAGACGCAAAGCCCCCTTTTCGAAAAAAGACCAACAGTACATAACAAAGCGCAGCAGACTGTATCATTGTTTTGAAACTGAGGTTAGTCACGAAGTAGCTCCTAACTTAGAGAATCGCATTGCTCTCGGTGATTGATATGTGGAGTTTAACATCCGAAAACCACCGTATAATTATGAGAGAGGCCGTGTAGTGGATCGCTCCGGAAATTCCGATCACCCGGAGTTCTTTCGGGTGGTCGCGCGCGTAAATTGGGTGCACGCGCGCGTAATTCGAGAAGTGGGCAATATTCATATAGCAATATCATTGGTTTGAAGCTAAAAGCCTAGATACTACCAAAAGGCGCAAGTGATGTTTTGCGCTTTCAGTGATCCAGCTCTAAAACTGCATTTCCTGCAATTCATCACACATGATACGCTCTTTTTTTATTGACCGATTCAATATTTCGCCAAGTATATCGTACAACGCTTTAGTTTTACGAGAACGTTCTCCTGCAAGTTCAAAAGCATCTACCTCGGCGTGACTATTACCGACTGCATAGTTGCCAACGCGAAGGTGACACTCCAGATAAAAAAGTATCGAATGTGAGTCGGTGCACCCATGGCTGGTCATACCTGGAACATGATGGTGGTGCGTGTCGTGGAGCTACTGCTGCCAATAGTGCTCGGGTCAGTTCGCTCATGCAAAAAGGCTGATCTAGCAAAACGTGGCTTCCGAGTGATCGCCTCAGCACCTATGTCTGGATTTTCTTTTTCTTCTCGACGTAAGCACTCTGCGGGCCTTGACAGATGACAGGCGTTCCCGCTTCCGGAGCCAAATCGCGTGCCTCCCTCGTCATGAATATTTCTTCTAATATTCGTTGTATATTATCTGGCGTTTAAATGCGCGACCGAAACGCAAAACAGAGAAAGACAGCGTATTGTCAAGCAAGATTCCGTTGGTAGTGGAAAGAAAGAAAGAAAGAAAGAAAGAAAGAAAGAAAGAAAGAAAGAAAGAAAGAAAGAAAGAAAGAAAGAAAGAAAGAAAGAAAGAAAGAAAGAAAGAAAGAAAGAAAGAAAGCGTTGCGGTGCTAGTTTATTTTATTCACTTTTTTTTAAATAATTCAATCTCAAACGAGCTCGTGGAAACAAGGAACATCTGAAGTGCATAGTTTCTGCACATTCGCGCTTTCAAGAAAGAAAAAAAAAGATCAGTGAAGTTATCCAAACAGCTTTCAAGTGACATAGTTGATTCATTACAGTATGCATAAAGCGACACAAGCTTCTGACGGAATCAGAAGAGAAGGAAAGAGAAAGAGAAGATTCGCTCTTCAAGAAGGAAAGAGAAGTTTTTTGCTTGAGCATGGACCAGCGCATTAGGGAAAGGGGGAGAGGATGTAGTTCTGAAAAGAGAGTATAGGATCACGATCATGAACAGACAATAGACAGGCGCTATTGACAATGCTGCTCGCAAGAAGAGGAAAATCACTGAATTCATCCGTTAAAATGCAAAAAAAAATTGATACCACATGCAGTGGTTCACTGAAGTGTGATGCCATAAATTGCACTAATCCACGCGCTGCTGCACAGAATAGCCTGATACCAAGCTACGTGTGCCGTCAAAATACACGCGTTACGGAGTGATTTTGAAAGTTGAGTTCTCGTAAAATTCTTTGTTTCTGTTTTCTTTGCAAGTCTTTCAGCAGTTTTGTACAAACGGTACGTTTCGAACGCACAGTGCGAAAAAGTTTCACATCAGAAGAGTTGATTGATTGATTGATTGATTGATTGATTGATTGATTGATTGATTGATTGATTGATTGATTGATTGATTGATTGATTGATTGATTGATTGATTGATTGATTGATTGATTTGTGGGGTTTAACGTCCCAAAACCACCATATGATTATGAGAGACACCGTAATGGAGGGCTCCGGAAATTTTGACAAATTGAGGTTCTTTAACGTGCACCCAAATCTGAGCACACGGGCCTACAACATTTCCGCCTCCATCGGAAATGCAGCCGCCGCAGCCGGGATACGAACCCGCGACCTGCGAGTCAGCAGCCGAGTACCTTAGCCACTAGACCACCGCGGCGGGGAACATCATAAGAGTTCATGGGAATCGTTCAACTGGCACTAGCATCTGTTGCACTACGCTGCCAGCGCCTTACCAAGCGGGCTTTAAATATCGCCACGAGCATTCGGCTTTTTCATCACGTTGAGGAATCGTTGCCGCAAACCACCTCGGGTGGTTAAATGGGATACTTCTCACTGTACTCAAAACAGATGGGGTTTCATCGCTGTCAAAAGTGCCCGTGTAAAAATGCACTAATGGCAAATCGTCTTTCCTATAAAAAATGAGATCGTCTTCACAGCAGGCGTCATTGCCAACTTCAGTTCTGTCTATAGGCTTCCGTTAATATAACTACGAAGTCGGTATTTTAAGCCCGTTCATCTAAATCTCTTAAAAAATCAACCACTAAATTTCAGGATGCGTACGAAGCAAATCACAATGCAGCTGTTGTATGCGCCCTCACTGTGGATGGTGGAACTGCATACGAATATATGTGCGGATGTACGAGTCAACACAAAGCATCACGGCAGCATATGTGTGCAGAGGATCGCATTCTCCGTATAGAGGTGCATGGCGTAAATCCATAAATATACAGGTCCCCATTTCTCCTGTGGCGGGTATACGATTTCCTATGTCTTCTATTACGCAAGCCCGGCCGGATTCATGCGGGGAAGCCGCCTGTCGGCCCACGTTATTTCACCTACCCGCTTTTCCCTTGGGTATCGCGCACTTATTTTCAGGGTTTATTTGCATAGCGTACGTTTGCACGAATGGCGGTGAGAAAACGCACCGCGCTTCATATTTGCGAACGTTATGCGGGCGCGGAAGAATTCGTAGACGACTATGGAATGAGCGTACATCTGCATACTCCTTCATTGTGCGAGGTGCACTGAAAGGGGTGCGATTCTGGACCGTCCTATATATATGCTGCCCTGTCTGCTAAGACTTCTCGAACCAATGTATGGGTTATTACAGACAAAAAATCCTCCAGTGGTTATGTTTTTATATAGTACTGTGGTCCTGAAGTAAATTAGTAGTAATAAAAACACTGGAATGATGGATGTGTTTTAGAGATAATACAGCTGGGGCACATAAGGAAGAAGCTTTGACTGAAAAGCGAGCACAACATTGCGCGAGTTACAAAGGCATTTAGACTAAAATGAAGTCTTTATTTGAAATATTTTTCCTAATTTCCTTCTTTTGTTTATTCTCTTGACCTTTTAGCTTTTTTCTAAGAATCCGCATGATTCTGTTTCCTTATTGTAATCCTTGAGACGTTGCAGTGACTCGAAAAACGACTTTTATAAATTTCGATGAGATAATAGCAATAATTATAAACCAGGAAATGTGATTATTTCAGCTACAATAACACACTTTGTTCATTTACGATTGTTTATTTCATTCTGTCTTTAATGCTTCCACCTTTCATTGTGCAAGTGTGTCGTAGCTGACACAATCCAGCTTACTATTTTTCTCCAAGCAAGATTTTATACAACTTTACCGCTACCATGGTAATACTGAAATCTTCACAGATTTTTAATCGAAGCTTTCGTAAAGTGAGATCGATAAAAGACGTATAAGTTTCCTGAATATCGGGTGTCGTTAGTGTAATACTGCAGCTAGTTGAGGATCGTATTCATGAGTTCTCTTCAGTTTTTAATAGAAAGAGAATAAGAAAAGATATTTCAAGATTTTAGTGGGTGTAAGGAGACCAAAGCACCCTCACACGAACGAGCCTCATTGATGTTTTCCGAAAAATTCACCATTTACGTAGCAAGAAAAGAAAAAAAAGACACATCTTGCGAACTTTGACTGAGACCTGTTGCATAGGCAAAATTATATAAGTTCTACATAATCATAACCGAAGTGCAAGGTGAAAGATTGAAGAGATCAAAACTTTTTGGAAAGGCGATTTCACTGGAGCCAATACATCGACGTTGTCAAAGTATGGACTGCTTTGACAACGACAAGTATGCTGAAAAGTCGCTGCATTCACAAAAATAACTCGGCCTGTAGCCGCGTTGGCTTGAGCGACACCACGTTCAAAGGTTGTTCCTCCCGAAAAGCCCTACATAGCGCTTCTTGATAGTGACAGCACTATATAAACGAGTGCTATATTATGAGCTATAGTGTGCCCACGCTGACTGCACCTTCATCGTTTTCCGTACTCTACCACACTCATACCGCATTCTGCCTCTCTCCTTCTTTATATGTAAGGTATGCAATGGTGAACATTTCTGCCTTTTTTTTTTTCCTTAGCTTTCTTTTTCTTCCTTCCCTCTCATTGTTTTGAAGTAGGTGACATGTACTACATGCCATTATCTCCACTGTGATCGCAGGAGCTCTATGCGTGGCCATCTGGAAGCTCTCAGTGCCACGCTGGGTGCCAAACGGAACCGAGGAGCCTGTGTTATTAGACTGCGAGTACGTGTACAACGAACACGACGTGCGACTCGTGGTCAAGTGGTTTTTCAACGACCTTCTAGAACCAGTGTACCAGTGGATACCGGAGCTGAACTCGCGGCAGGCCAGCGGGATCTTGGCGGGTCATCTGGACGACTCTTCGTATACCGGACCTTCGCAGTACAGGGCGCTCCGCATCATACGGCCCACCACGGAGATGAGCGGTCTCTACACGTGTGTGGTTTCTTCACTGGCCGGCATTGACTCGAGGCAGCAGTCAATGATGGTCTACGGTGAGAAACTTTCTTTAGCCTAGAGGTGAAACATAGTGTACATATTTGTGGTGGCTTTGTGTCCAAAAAAGTAGGAATTCAAGCCTGAAGGAACATTGGAGCAAGTAGGTTTGCTTGATTATTTTTTATTTTTTATTTTTTCCCTTTTTTCTCTCTTCCAAGTTGGCAATCAGCCCTCGTCTCTTGTTTTATTTCTACTTAGCCTCTCGTTTCATGTCATGTTGTTTATTACTATGAACTCATACCAACTAGGCCACCTTACCACTCTTTTCCAAGGTAGAGAGGACGAGAAAGAAACCACCCATTCATCTTTGAACTGAGAGTGGTTAAGGAGCCGTCAATAAGACAATCCGTTTTCTAAAGCCCAGGTTTAAACACGGGGCTCTGTGCCACATTGCTAACCTCAACAAATTCTACGAACGAAAGGATATAAGTTTTAATTTCCACTTGTTGAAATTCCTTCTACTAATTCATAAGTAAGCCAACTATACAGCAATGATCAACTATGGTTAATTCAGCGAGCTGCTGTTGAAGTGAATACCTGCAACGCATTTCTGTTCCGCTTTCGCAGATTTATTCTTTAGGCACTGTTATTTATTCCCTGTGAATCAGAACCAACGTATTGCAGTGAACAAGCCTCAACTAAGACACGTTCAGATACTTCGCGAATTTATACTAAATGTCGGCGCACGTGTTACGGAAGAAACTGACAACGGAACGAAATCTGCACAAAGGTCTACTGAAGTACACTTTCCTCTTGTCCCAATTCATAATGTAGTGTTTTGCAAGGTTCTGCAGCGATGAGGATTGTAAAAAGAATTACGATGAAAAGTAATTCTGTTTAAGGAAACCAAACACTAAAAAGTACGAACCTGTGAAAAAATACTGAGTGCAAACGTTTGTGCTATTACGTAAGACCAATCCGGTCTTCGCGTTCTGCCACTGGTGTAAAACAAAACAGTAAAAAAATGCTAAAGTGGAAATCACCGTGCGTTTCGGAGGGTTCGAGCAAGGCAGGCAACCTCAATGGGTAGGTGGGGCCCAAGATAGCCGTAGGCTTTCTCCTCCAGCAGTGAACATCATTCCGCGAGAAAAATGGTCAGGGCGGGTAAACGATGCAGGCGTCTCGGACGAGGAAAATCAATTTGATTTCTCAGAATAGTGCAAGCAGAGCCGAACAGACTCAGAATGACAAATCTTTAAAACGCGTACATACAAAGGAAAGTAAAATTGCGAATAGGGGACAAAGCGTCTCAACCAACGAACGTCGTGGTAAGAAGATAAGAAATTTCAAGACCCAAAGCAAGGAAATCACGAGTGGCATGAGGAGCGTCTTCAAGTAAAATATAAAAAGAAAGGCCTCAGTAAGAAGAGATGAGTAACGTAACGCGAGAAACTGTATTGCGAGAAAGAAGGTGAGAGACTGTGTATGTAGATGAAGGGGGTGGGTGGGGGGGAATGTTAGCACGCTGCAGTGGCACATAGGGCGGCGTTCAAGGGACCATAAAGGTCGACCATTCATGTGAGGGGCGAGTGCAAGAAAGCGGGCGGCCTATGTGGCGCGATATATGACAGGCTGTTGTTCGGCAGGCACCGTGGAGCAATTCAAATGCGCAGAAGGCCGATGCGCTACCGAAGATTTGAACAAAGGCGTCTGGCGTGGCTGTTGAAGCAGCTGGTTCCTCAATTTCACGGCGACGGCTGCGTATAAACTTTGGTTCTGCGCGCGGCGCTTTTGCCTGGCGTTCGGCAAAAGCCCTCGTCTTCTCCCGCATGATCGACATGTTTGTGCACACTGAGAAAACTAGCCGACCGGCTGCTACGAGGGAGATAGCTGACTAAATACGCTAACCAGAGAGGCATGGAACAGTTTAGTGCTTATGTAAAATAACACTTCGCGTACTAGCAAAAGTTCTTCGTTGGCATAAGAACTAAAACGTATAACGGTGCACATACTCATCACTGCGATTGACAGTTATGCTATAACAGGGATTCGCAGTGATTTAATTGATCCATTTTGTGCGTGTTTTTTTTCTATATGCCAAAAGTGCGTTTACACTTCATCTTCATTGTTACATGCACACATAGTCCCACTATATCAGGTTTCTTTTATGGCGAAATTATGATCTCAAAGCCAATTGGCACGTGCTGTTCTCTAACATTCACGAAAGCTAAAAACAAGACAAAGTTAAAAAAATTATGCAGCTTCACGCCAGTGAGCCCAAGTGTGACAGAAGTTCGGAGCTGAGCTGCCTGCTTTGCTTCTTTTTATTTTACATTCTTTGTCTTTTTCCTTTTCTCTGTTTTTTCTGCCTGTTTGTTTGAACTTCTGTCCTTGTTTTTTTTTTCTTTTGCTGTTCCGCACTCTTTTTTTATTTTCTCATTCATCCCTTTCTCATTGTCTCTCTAGTTATCTTTCCCTATTGATTTTCACCTATCTCTCTTTCACTCTTTGTTTTCTGTTTAATTAATTGAAACCATCAATGTACAGAATAGAAAACGTCCTAATGTCAGTCTGGCCAATCGTAAAGTACATAAAGTCACTTCGACATGAAACTAATATATACAGTAAATAAATCAAAATTACAGAAACGAGGAGCTCGCATTTTATAAAGTGCAAAAAATAAACACTATACACAACCCTTTTCAACATCTTCATTCACGTGCAACATGGAGCTTGGTATCTCCAAGCAGCGAAGTCGCTATACGTCGAATCTGCTTGTAACCTAGGCAACGGTTTGCTATGGTTGTTAAAGATAGACACTACCCAAGTAGGATTAATATTCCATCTTAACTGAAGTTAGCGTACTGTATCTCTTGCAGAACATGCTTCATAATTATTCATATGATTAGCTACATCAATTTCATCATTTACTCGAAGTACAAGCGTCGGCGAATGCACGCTATTCATCTTCGTCGTCCATGCTCCCCCGCTTCACTTCTCCTGCGAATGCTATGCGTGACGAAGACTCAGAATTAGTTTATTTTTTTTCCTAGGTGTCCACTCCTGTCATAGCTTATAGGCAGATATTGCTTCGCGACACAAACCTGCGTGCTCCCTGCTGCATAGGATCGTATCTAAGCCCCCTGAAGACACGGGAGACTCTGATGACAAGCTGAAGATACAAAAAAAACGGGACCATGATAAAGGAGCGCTTCTGACTAATTCCGCATGTCATCATGCTTCTCCTGAAGTCTGCGCCATTCTCTGCACTAGCCTCCCTTACTGCAACTAACAAAAGCAAGGCTCGAAAGGCTGACAAGTAAAAGCAACGGGAGAAAGCTTGCGGAAAGCACGAAAATGCCGTTGCGTTTTTCCGCTATTCGCAGACACTGCATTCGTTTTGAATCGTTTAACCCTTCGGACTATATTTAATAGAGCGCTTCGGGTTAGGTGGTTGTTGCTATGCGAACAGCACGAGGGTGCACTTGCCTTACGGGGACTCGATCCGGGTGCCGTTTTTTAACCAAAAGAAAAGAAAAGGGGGGGGGGGGAGGATGTAATGCTCACAGTATACCTTAGACACAAAAAGAGACGTACTATCGCGCTTCAGGTTTAGGTGGTAATCAGCAAGAAAGACTACCCATGAGCCACTGATTAAGATAGATATGTGGGGTTTAACGTCCCGAAACCACTATATGATTATGAGAGACGCTGTAGTGAAGGGCTCCGGAAATTTCGAGCATCTGGGGTTCTTTAACGTGCACCCAAATCTGAGCACATGGGCCTACAATATTTCCGCCTCCATCGGAAATGCAGCCGCCGCAGCCGGGATTCGATCCCACTACCTGCGGGTCAGCAGCCCAGTACAGCCACTGATTAAAGGATGGCTGTAATTCTGTTTAAACATATGCAACGATGATAAAACTAAACATCATTTTATCCTATGCATGGCGCCCAAACCCCTGCACCCCGGCGCAATGACGGCGACGTTGTCCACAGTTCATTACGCTTGCGAGGTCTGATCTCTCGCCTCGCACAAGCTCCCACGTGTCGACCCAGGTAATCGCGTGCGTACGTTCTTTATCCCGCGTTGATGACATAACCAAGTAAATTGAAACGATTAACTTTTACTTGTCAAAGCAAATAGTAAAATAGTGAGATTAATCGAGTGCGCAGAGAGGTGCAAAGAAAACTTGGCTGTAATGTTAGCCCTAGCAGCCCGGTGGTCTGGAGTTTCTACCTATCTGGACTCAGTGTTGATGCTCAAGAGCATGTGCGCGCACCAAAGTTGTCACTAACTTTAGGCAGCTATCGGGAGACGAGGAGAGACGATGAGGCAAGGAAGGGAAATTAACCGAATACTAGCATCCGGTTTATCACAATGCGCCTAAGAAGACGAATAGGTGTTTAAAAAAAGATGAGAACAATAAGCGATAAATAAAAAGAAACACTAAGAAGAAGCGTTACAGTTAGATTCATTAAGATAGTCAATGGATCGCGACAACCGCAGTTGCGCTTCAATAGACTTTTTCAACAACAGCCAGTCCCTAAAGCTCGTTCAAGCACACACTCTATCACCGATAGAAGTGCTTATCTGCGGAAGAAAAGGAAAACGCAGCATTTATTTTGGAGTCGGTGATTTCCGGTTGTAAAGTCTATAGACACATTTTTGTTCTCTTCTCTCATTTTCTTCCTGAAACCTGACTACCGATTTCCTGAAACCTGACAACCACGTTAGCTACTGATCTTATTATTTTATTACGCTTTGAGGTGAATTTGTAATAATAATTGTAGGAGTTTAACGTACCAAAACCAACGTTTCAATATGAGAGACGTCGTAGTGGAGGGCCCCGGAAATTTCGACCACCTGGGGTTCTTTCACGTACACCCAAATGTAAGCACACATGCATCAAGCATCTTCGCTTTCATTGAAAATGTGGCCACCACAACCGAGATTCGATCCCGCGGCCTGCGGGTGAGCAACCGACTGCCTTAGCCACTAGACCACAACGGTGGGTTGAGGTGCATTTGTAAGTAAGTGGAGTTGAGAGTGTAGCTTCAGCCTAATTACAGCACCTGCCAGCCTGACAGCACTTTCCCGATTACGCATTTCTCGCTGCGGTAGCAAACACGAGTTTATTGGATAACTATATTTCCTAATCTCTAAGCTGAAGATAAGTGGCTGATTAATAATACTTCTGACTTGTACTCAATTTTGTGTGAATTCAAATGTAGGTTTAATTTTTGTAAGGTGTTGTTATTTACCCCGTACAGAAATAAAAAGGGACGTTCAGTCGAAACATCGTTATTAAACTACGCGAAAAGACGAGGACACGAGTAAGAAACACCATTGTTCATTTCATTAACGTCCAGCGACCACGAACCAACTAGCCCGCCAGAACGCCATATTGAAGTAGAAGAGATTGCATCAAAAGGATCTGTCAATTTGCTGCAAGTTTAACGGCACAGTAGGCTTTCTTTATGGCCCGGGGCAGACTACACTACATGAGCAGCCACAGCCTCGTCGTCATTATCAATGCCCAGGCCGGCTTGGACGAATCGAGAAAAGCAAGAAAAAAACAAAACGCAGCGTGCCTCCAGTTTTAGGAGGTGGCTCGGTAGCTGCTGTGGACAGCCACCGCATGCATCGCCTCCAGCGCGATGCCCTGCCTCCAACAGTCATCACGGTTTTCTGAGCATTAGGCCTCCGTCGAACCACTGCTGGTTCCAACGAGAGACCCGTAAAGTAGGGTCGAAGAGCGGACAAGCAACGTAATAAAAGACTCAGAGGGACGTGGAAAAGTCACACAGGGCTTCCTGCAGGATGAGGTCAGATAATGCACGCCAAAAAAGAAATGAGAGAGAACGTGGCATCCGGCAGGCGCTGTCTCCACTATATAAAAGTGACAGCCGGGAATACTCCTCTCGAGGTCCCCCGCCTTGGGGCTTGTTCACCATTACCGGGGCGTAAGTAAGCACACGTGTCTACAACAGGCCGGGGGCCCCGGTTTCCTCATTCATGTGGGAAGCGCTCGTTTTGTTTTGCTTCTCTCGCCGCTTCGAAGGCTGCTTCGGGGCTTCCATGCCTGCAGACCTCGACATGCTGGCGGTGCGTGGAGCCTATCCATATACTCTGGGTAGTTGCGCGTTACGACATCATGCCCGTGTATAGCCCATATACGCGGTGTTCATGTGTGCTTGCGGTACGGACATGTAGCCGTATAGTGTGCTTTCTGTCACCTTGCTTTCCGACCCATTTTTTTGTGTGTGTGTTTGCTTATGGCTATAGACTTTAGCGTGGGGAAAGGAACCTTATGGGCTTGAGGATGCACGCAGTAACCCAGCGTCGCAGGACTACAAACGCAAATCAGGGACATGACAATAACGAAAGTAACGCAAATAGCGTCAATGATGGCTTTCGACTAATTTTTTTCTTTGAGAGCACGGTATTCATAATTACAATTAGCACAGGAGCCACATACAATGAAAAGGGCAAAGCCAGTCTAAGTCGCCACGAAAGCACCTGCGCCTTCCAAGTATGAGAACTCTTTATCCCGCAGTGCTGTGAATGACTAATTTACTGATCCCTCAACACTCAACATTAACCATACGTTCCCACTCAGGTGCCTTGAGATCGCTTGAGAGCAGTAAGCTAGCGCTATTGTATTGTAGCTAGCGCTAGAAGACATAGGCCCTCAATTCAAGCATCCACCACTCCTTTGTTTTCATTCATCAGGAGGGTACTTCAGTGTTGTGTCTTTTGTATTAATAGAAGAGGTCATTCTTCCTCATAAATACTAGCTTCATAACAGCTTGTTTCGTATTCATATCGTGGTTTTCACACGTAAAGCCTCACATGTTACTATCATTGTTTTCGTTTTGAGATTGCATTTCGTCGGTTCCTGTTGAGTGCATTAAGATGACACGCCTTACGTCTCGCAGTGCCGGCAAGAAACTTCACGCTGACGTACGTGACTACAGCAGTGCCAGCCGCGTCGCCCCCTGCCGCCTCCTCCCTGGCAACGGCTTCGCGAGCACGCGTCGGTGCTCCCGCCGACATCACTTCCCCAGCGGGGCCGACATCGAGTGGCCGCTCGGGTGGGCCCATGGTCGAGGTGCACTGCGACGCCCTGGGGTTACACCCGCGTCCCACGCTGCGTCTGTTCAGCATCACCCCGGACATGCGTCGCACCGAGGTGCAGCGGGGTCGGACGCGCAAGACGAATGGAACGTACGACATCGAGCTGTGGCGCTCGTTCAACGCCGAGCAGCTGCCGCAGTCCGTGACCTTCGAGTGCGTACTCGAGATACCGGGCACCGACTACGAGGTCCGCAGGCGGACGGTGTATAGTCCCGGTGGGTGGCAGTGTGACGTATGCTGATGACGTGGGGGCGAGCGCCGATCCATACGTTTAATGTTTCTGCACACAGCAACGTATGTTGTGACGCGTACTACGAGCGACACTCTTCTTTTTTACGTATCACTTACAGTTGACCTTCTTTCGAGATATTCAGTGTCTGTACCTAAACCTGGGAAAACCTTTTCGAAACAAAACAACAAAAAATCCCGCAAAAAATGAAAAAATTGGCTTTTGGCATGGTGTGGTAAGAATGTGCGCCCAACGTGACCGACCGCACATGATATCAATAATGGGGCGTGCTCGTCAGTTACGCCACGATCAACGATGACTGTCCAAGTTAAGAGGAAGAAATGAGAAAAGATAATGAAAAACAAACAGAAAAACGACTGCTAAGAAAAATAAAAAATTCTATATATATATATATATATATATATATATATATATATATATATATATATATATATATATATATATATAAAGTTATATGGTTTATCCCGTATTCTGTGCTTGCACCACCCAAGGTAGTTAGGCAATGCATTAGCTTCACCTATATTTTTTAGCCTATATAAATAACAGGATCAATTGCATCTTCGCAATTATTCGGGCATCACAAAAATTCTGAACAATACCTTGAATATTCTATAAAATCCTCGACACTTGCTCGGGGAGCAATTCGTTTTTTATAGAATGGCATTTTCACGTGTAACTAAACGACATCCGAGCACTGGTTGTGACATGACCAAGAGCGATGTCTACGACACAATTCAACAACAAAATAAAGAATAAGTAATGGCAAAAAGGAATAAACTGAAAGGCAGAAAATACGCCAGATGTATGCTGAAGCCGTCTAAAGCCAGACATTTTTCGTCTCGAGAAAAATTCAAAAAACATCCGTCACACTTTAGAGAACAAGACAATAAAGAAGTAAGGACGTGCTGTGCCTAAATAAAAGCTAGCAGGCTTATCTATCTTTTATACTGGAAATATCATTTGAAAATTTGACATCCAGAGATTCATAAATGTCATCTCGATGTGCAGCAACGCGGTAAAAGGCTATTTCGCGCTTCACAAACCGGCGGCCTGAAGTAATTTCTTTTGAAACTTGTCCAAAGTACAATAAATTAGAATTGCCTTGGTGAGCGAGGATTTATCGGAAAGCGTTAATATTACACGCCGTTCGGAGCCAAAAAGTAAAGCGTCATTGAAACATGAGGCTTAAATCATTAAAACATATTGCCTGCGTAGGGTTAGCGAAGCGATAGTGGCGTCCGAGTAAGTTCTGGAATTTTAACTTTTTTATATTTACTGTAGTTTTATCTATCAATTACAGCTCCTCTTTTATTTCACAACGTGTGAACGCGGATATTTATGAGGTCTCATGCATACCAACTGTCTTGACAGGACTTCGGTGTCATGATGATTCTCTCACAAAGTTAAATGGTTTTGCGACATTGAGAGACATGGGGGTGATCACATATACCCACCTACGTGGCTATGTGATCACTCCCATACACAACGAATCCGAGCGACCGCCTGTAGGCAGTGTGTGCTCCTCTAAGTGTGTTCGTGATTATGTGTCTTTCTTCCCTTTCTCCTATCTCCTATCCTGGACGTGCGTCTGGTTAACCTCCCTGCCCTTCCTTACATTTTTCTATCTCTCCTTTTCTCTGCGTGAAAGTGAAAGCGTAGTTGCGCAATGAAATCGTATTCTTTCTCTGATGATTTGTAGTCTTTCAAGCGTTTTTTTAAGACCATGACAACTTCCTGCGATTGTACTAACAGCGTTGGTTTTGTCTTTTTCTTCTTTCATTTCCAGGGTATCTCTACTTAACAGGTACGCATTTTCTCCAAACATCCGCCTGACTTACGTAAGACTCATGGCATAACATAATTATCATACATTCTAACTACGTTTTCCTTCATTTTTAAAGCGAAGCCATTTAAGCTTGGGCCACTGTCATACAGACGGAAAACTCGGTGCCTGTGCGCCACAGAAAGCAGGCATGGGCTAAGCAGCTTCTAGCATATCGTAGAAATTCGTTGTATAGTATAGCAACGCGGTGTGGAAAGGGGCATGAGTGAGAACGGACTGGAGGGTAAGGGGAAGGAAGGGAGATTGTAAAGAATAGTATAGCTTTGTATTGTACACCTCAGCAAGTGCAATGGAAATGATAGGGAGGTTGGGGAGGACTGAGTTTAGGATGAGGAGGAGGGAAAAGGTGAAGTGAGAGTGTGAACCACAAGCTAATCAAGTGCAGTATATCCTGCAAGAAGTGGGAAAGAAAAAAAAAGGGAGGGGATGAGAATGGAAGAAATGAGGAGAGAAAGTAATGTAGAAAGAGATAAGTAAAGACGGCACACAAAGAAAGAGTAATAATAAGAAAAAAAGGAACTCAATCTTCGTTCTATAAGTGGTGACGCTTCCAGGCCAGCTCCGCTGTTTATACTCTGATTTCAATCCCGTGAAACTGACTTAATCATAATAAACTAGCTCAGACAGTCCTTAGTGGTGTTGAAGATAACTCGGGATGTTTTTTTTTTTTGTTTACGATGTGGTTGCTGCAAGGTTGTACGTCATCCGCTCCCATACAAAAGCGCCACCCTGCTTAAGTAATTTGCCCACCCCCTCTTAATCTTCCCCTCCCCTACACAAAGACAGTTTTTGTGAAACAACGCAATATCTGCTGCCCAAGTAAAATCAATATTTCATTTATTTCACTTGAATTTCTTCCCACACCATTTCCACAAATTTGTTCAGTAACCTCTAGTGTATTTTTTGCTACAATAAAACGTTAAGTTTCAGTTTTCACGTTAGAAATATGGACCAAATATCTGGAGTAATACACACAATATTCAATTTCACTCGGCGCATGGAACAAGGACGACGTAATCAAAACCACACGGTGCTATCTTTTCTAGCGCACCTGTCGTCTTTTTTCATAGATGCTGGGAACCAACAAGTAGCAAGAATAAGCCCAACGTGCAACATTGGTGAAATAATTAGGTCTAAAGTAGCGGATATTTCTGTTCGGATTAGACGAGCTACCAGAATACCCGCATTTATACTTTAGAGTCCCAAAGTCCCGTTCAATGTGCAAAATATATTGCATAAGGACAAAGTATCTGAAGAAGTTTAGCAAAACCCTAATCTTCAAAAAAATATCAAGTTTTTAGCTTACTTATTATACAGTATAGCGTGCTTTTTTCCGAGTTCAAGGCCTGAACAATTTTGTCATTTGCTGGTTTATGGTTTTTTTTCTGCAATACAGATGATATTTCGGTTCACACCAATCAAAAACGTCTGAAGAGATCTTAGTTGTAACACACTGTAGCACCGCTGTTATAAATACATCATAATAATTACGAGGAAGGAAGTATATAACTCCATCCTCTTTATACTGTACTTGGACCCTTAAAGTTTGAAGCCAGCTGAGAAAAACTATGAAAAAAAACTTTGGAGCGAGGAAGCACGAACCGTGGTTTGAATACCCAATCAGTTTAATTGGGCCATGGTTTCGAGGACAAGAAAGTGGAAGCAAGAAACACCACTCTCACCCTATGGTCTTTCAACGACAAAAAGTGTCGATTATCATATTAAAACACTTTTTAACAATAGATGACTGAACAATAGAGTGTCGCTAAGCACAAATAATTATATTGAAGCAATTACTACGTAGCACCCGTAGAAACATAGACTCTCGGTTCATTTATTATTTCTTTCTTTTTTTGGTTCTCATTGTTTCTCACGAACAAAGCTGTTGCTCTGTTCAGGCAGTAATATATATGAAACAAGATAACCCATATTATTCATTCGAAAACGCTGAGGATGGCTTACGAAAAAACACCTCGTGGTAATCAATTAAAGAAAATTGCCAGGCGGTCGTCTTCACCGCATGAATGTTTTAAATTTCAACCGTGAATGCATGCGGGAGGACCGCAAAAAGAAAAAAAAACTTTTTAAGTGGGTAGAGCCGTAATTAACAAAAGAACGGCATATCACCTTCTTTTTAATAACTATTTCTGCATTGTGTGAAGGCGTTCAGTGGCAAGATAATGAATTAACTTGGTGCCCGTTTCTTAGCTTTATAGAGGCGTAGGCAGCTCATGGTAGCCGTCATCCGCATCTCTGGCTGTACCATGTTTTTTCAAACGTAATGCGAGTTGTTTTTTTTTTAGTTTTCATTACTTAAAATTGACTCTCACGTTATAATCCAATGACGAAATTATTCTTTCTTCCTGGATGTAATGAAAAGTCATCGCTCGTGATACAATTGTGGTTGCGTTACAAATGAGTAAACATGGTATTATTCTGCACAGTCTCACTAACGGGGCACATAGCAGTATTGTAGCCTTTAGGTATTTTAACCTACGTTAATACGAAGCACCTACGCGATTGTATACATGTGCTAGCTAAGAAAGGAAATAAGCTGGAGAGAGCGAAAACGCAGAGAGGTTACAGAGCTCGGAATAAACGTTATGCTACCGCACTGAGGAAGTGAATAGGGCCGTACATGCGCGAGGGCAAATTCAATCTACTGCGGGAACAAGATAGGTGCGAGCAGCATATTCAGTAGCTATAGCGTGTAGGTGATTCCTCGTGAACGTCAGTTTCATTTCCATGTTGTCAATGCCGAGCTTGACTAATATTCTCAAGGACTTCAACTGTGTATGCACGTCCTTGTGAATTTAATCAATCCGTGCTGTTGTTGGCTGAGGTCTCTACTCAAATTAAGTGTCTAATAGCAATGTAGACACTAATAGAGTGAAAACTAGAGCTCGTTCGCATGGCTTCGTCGTAAGCGGTTGTGCTCATGTGAACCATGTTAATTAACGCTCATGTTGTTAGCCAGCGCAAAGTACTGCTGTCTTCCTTGTTCTGTGTACCTGCACCGTTATTTTTTTTTAAGATGAAGCAATGTGAACCAATTGCAAGTTTGTAGAATCCTGGGCAGAAACAAACCCTAAACGTTTGAACGAGACCCAGATAAAATAGGACACAATACGTGCGCCGAGTTTCGCTAACTGGTCTCACTTTGACCGATCAACACGATTAGAACAGATGCGCGTATTACATAAGTCTTAGAAGAACGCCAGTACATATTATAGACACATACGAGATCGCATATTATGTCACCTTAAAAAAAATATATCTCCTCATCAGGCAAAAAGAGGGAATGTGTACTTACACAGTTAAGGCCTCAACTTTTATTTGTGTCCTCCTTCACCTCAGTCTTGTTCCAATGCCCAAAATTCATCACTATGCTTTACGCGCGAAAATGTACTCCTGGTAAAGCAATTTTTTTTAAACATCATGCCAATATAACTTTTTAATATTGTCATTGTTCAAGCTAATGGCGATACGTCAAACATACCACAGTTTACAATTCATTTTTCGCTGTGCGGCAAGTTCTGCAATCTCAAGTTTCTCGTAAGTTTGGAATGTGGTATACATGTCCTTGCTCTTGATGGAAGAAACTCGCGCGGTAATTGTATGATTCAACGCAAATTTTTACGCCTTGATCAGCTCTTTTTTTTTTCTTTTTCAGATACTTCTCATAAACTCAACATGCAAAAGAGTTGGTTTGTCCTTGCACTAGTCGTCACGCTTTTAAAGAACTCATACGCTGCCGGAACTTGAAAACTAGTCGTAGGTGAGTCTCAGTCTTTCTATAATAACATCATCTTCTTATCTAACCTACTACTTCAATGATTGAAAATTTGTAAAATTTCTGCAAGATTCTAAGTAGTGCTAGTGCTTTTTAGCATTAAAAATAGGTCCCACGACAGTGTTTACACTATGGAATCTTTTTCTGTAATAAAATGGTTATATTTTTCATATGTACTGAATATTCAATAAAACTTCAAACTTGAAAAAAAAAGTCCTCTTGTAAGCTTTTCTTTACTGTTTTTGGTCTAAAGCACAAATTTAAAATTGCGACATTGTGATATACTAACGGATCGGAAGCGCATTCACTCTCCTTGGACAGTTCTCCGAGAGCATGAGTGCATTGTTACTGTCCTTTTGCAGAGATTTTGTTTGGCTCAAATTGGTCAATGTAGGTAGTAAAACGAAGCTTTGCTACCTTTTGTTATATGCTATTCAGTAGAACCTGCATTTCATACCTACACAAAGCTTAGCGTCAATATTCATCCTCTGGCGCAACAACTAAGATGTAAACAAGTTCGTTCCAGTTTGTGGATTTGCATGCACAAACTAAAAGTCAGTGTGCATAAACATAAAAAGGCGCGTGTTGTTTTTTTTCACCGAAACAAGAGTAGTTTACTGTTTTTTTTTTCTTTTCTGCAGCGACAGTTGAGTGAAGAACAAATTAACTGTACCATGTTATATAGCAAACAATTTTTTTTCATGGTGTTTTGAGATATGTCTAACGCTCAACCCTTATTTTCGCAGGTATGTTGGTGAGGCCGTTAAAAGGGCACGAAGGACGCAAGTCGACCTTCAAAGTGTTTGTATCTATGATGTACATACGCACAAGATATTTGTAACGAACCCCTGTTCTTTAACAAAGAGCAATGGCATTCGACAAACAAAAAACATGGCACATAATTCAAGTTTTATGTTTCTGAGCCTTTAACTGGGAGCGCTGCAATTACTGTCGCCTTCCTTCGTTGTTGTAGTCGATGTACTGTGATATGGACAGGCACTTGTTCTTCCTCATGATTTCCACAAAACCATGGGCGTTAAAGCATTGTACGCTTGAAATCAACCGGCTACTTATTTTTCTGCCGCTGATCTGCAGTACGGACAACTTGATGTTAATCCAAAGCATGGACCAAGAAACCAAAGACTAGAGATATGGAGTGGTTGTTCTTAGTAGCACGTACATGAGGGAACGCTTGAATAGACAGCACACACGAGGAGCTACGTCATCGCTTTGAGATTCGGTGGTCACGGAAAAGGGTGGTCTGGCTTGCATACGACGATGATTTTGGAAAAGAAATAAAGGGTACTTTTTTACAAAACGAATACTTCTGTTTGTCATATTTATTTCTATTTAAGTACAGTAGCATCATTTTTAGAACTTTGACACAGCAAAATAACGTGTGACTATCCTACCTGAGTATGGCTTAGTTGACACATTTGAGACAAGACTTATGCATCCGCTGCCAAGATTAAGCGGTGAGTAACCTCACAGGATACTTCTTCAGCTGTCCACAAAAAGGTTTCTTCAATACAAGCGTAAGTACGATAGTTCGAGCTTCACATTTTAATTTCAGATAAAAGAACGAGGCAGAAAGTGCCAGAAGTCTTTCGAAAATTGCGTTGCGCACTTGGTTAACATCTCAGCACGATTCAACTTTCACATTGTTCTGGTCCCACGGTTGACGCCACAGTTCCGACTAAAAAATGCAAGATAGATTTTTGCATAAAAATAAAGGAAGTTTTGGTTGAATTTTTTGCGCAGAAGTAAGAAACCAGTGAGCAAATGGAAACAAGAGAAGTCTAGTACAAATACTTTTAAAATATTTGCCTTGTGTCACGTAACTTTGCTGAACACCGTCAGGTAAATGACATGTTATTGCCGACCGGTAACGCTTTTTATTTCACTTCGTACTTAAGAGACTGAAGTCGATATTCCACGTAACGCCATGAGCCGATGTTGGATCTCACTACGATAGATATGTGCCACCAATGCCTAAAGTTTTAAATTAAGCTAACCACGGTTTTAAAATCAAAGTTATTGCTAAAGGGCCCCTCATTGGTGGGCAATACGCATAACTCATACATACCCATCAGGTTGGCAATAAGAAGCCTTTGGTATTCGTGAGGCCCAACGATATAAGAACCTTTAATTCAACGAAACGTTCAGAATTGAGGAGGTTCAGTGTGTGTTCAAAAAGAGCAAGGACAGGGTGAAGCTCCTACTCTAGTGTTCAAAAACCCTAAAAACTTATAATCGCTAAAACTTATAATCTCAAAAACGACAATTCTTTATCACAAAGACCGTTCTCTGCCCCGAAAAAGCTCTCGTACTTGTGTATGAAAGTTGTTTCACATGCAAAACCGGGATGCTCTAAAAAGCACTTAACACTGTTTGTCACATGCGCGCAATTTGTAATCTATCAGATACCTCTTTCATGCGGCAAACACTATATAGGACAAATGGGCAGGTGTATTAATGACCGGCTCCGCGAGCACGCTTGCAACGTAAAAAATGGTCGAGATGGTTTTTTGGCACTACATTGCAGTACGTGTGGCTGCAAACCACTTTTTCATGGTACGGTAATCATAGGAAAAAACAGAAATAAAGTGACAAGGGAGATTATTGAAGCAGAAAGGATTAGTAGATTAGGGCTGAACTGCGTCAGCAATCCTTCTCTCGGTCTTTGTGATAAAGAATTGTCGTTTTTGAGATTATAAGTTTTTAGCGCATGGCAATAGAGGATTTTTCATCTGTGTGTCTGTTGTTTTCGAATTTCATGAGCATATATATGTACGCTCCTTGAAATAAAATTTTGTTGGAAGTAAGCGCTCCCTTCTGTCCCTTCCCTTGTCCTATGTTTCAAAACGCGCTACGTCGATTAAGTATGTCTTACCAACATGCCCAACTTTATACTCTAGTCAATTACCTTTCTAGTACAACGGGCCCTTTTGTGTGTTCTCCTCCTACTCCGTCTATAACGGCTGCTTTGATAGCCCACACCACTTGCCGTGCGCGAAGACTTACGTTCTGTATGCGGAAGAAAATTTTCCCTGAAGAAGTTCAGATACTCTTTGGTGGGTTCACCCCTTCCGTCGGACATGCCATGAGAGTGTGCAAGATTCTGAGGACTGAGTTCAGAAGGCAAGTGCGACTGCTTTGGCAGTGGTTTTCGCTTCAAATTCTGAATAGCAGAGATGATGCCAAGCGAAGAAGACAGCTTCATGAACTTCAGCGCGACATTCATCAAACTACAGAGGCCATTTGGGTCTGTGATCTGGCTCGTCTGCGAAGTCGGGCTAGACCGGCACCAAGACGGGATGAAAAAGGCATGAGTAGCGTTCACAGGCTGGAGCCGTTACAGTTGCCCCCGGAAGTGTCGAAAACCCTGTCACTAGGACCAAAGTTTGCGGTAGAGCCAAGGCTTTCCGCACCTGAGAGGCTCTCCTTGGTCCGCCAAATTTCTGGGAAGGCAATTGACTCGGAACATGACCGTTGTGTGTCAGCAGGTGTTGATGTGCTCCGTCGTTCGAAGCAACACTCTTCCAGGTTGCCGCTGAGAAAAGTGGAGGCCTACCTTAGGAACAACGCCCTCGCCGTACTTCCAGCCGACAAGGAAGGAGGGTTTGCCGTTCTTTCTTACAAGCTTTTCAGTTCTAAAGCAAGTGAAGCTGTTTCATCTGTTTTCAACTGTTACGACAATGTTGTTCTTTCTAAAGTCAAGTCTCAGACAAAAAAGATGTGTGAAAAGCTCGACCTCAGTAAACTTGTTAGTGACATAGCAAATAGCAAAAAAGATTGTCTTGAGGTATTTTTCAGTGCGAAAACACATAAGCCTGAAAAACCATTTCGTGTTATCGTTTCAGAAAATGGCACGTGGCAAAAAAATGTTGCGTTGTTTTTACAAAGTAAGTTTGGTCTATTAACAGTAGATGACCCATTTCTCGTGAAAAATTCCCATCAAGTTCTTGATTTCTTCCGATCTCGTTCGAATCAGCACATCTGTGGTTTTTCCATTGGTGTAAAAGATCTGTACTATTCGTTGCCTCACAAATCGATTCTTAGTTGTGTAGAAGAGAGCATTGACAAGCTTGGTAGCATAGCATTTCAAAATAGTGCTAGTGTATCGTCTAGTAGCTTTTTAGAACTTTTATCCTTTTATTTGCAATCTACTTTTATTCAATGGTATGGGAAGCCCCACCTTCAAAAGGAGGGCATTTGTATTGGATCATGTATTGCTCCAATCTTAAGTAATCTGTTTTTAGCCAAGCTCGACAGAACCGTTTCTGGTGACCTTAGTGACAACCGAATCATGCGCATCTTTAGATTTGTTGACCACTTCCTCATTCTTCTTCACGGTGACCCCATTTTTTGTGCCCTAGATATCCTCAACTTCATCAAGGAGCGGTTTAGTCCCCTTGTTTTAACCCACGAGTTACCTGTTAATAACACTCTCAGATTTTTAGATATCGCTCTCATTTTTCACCTCGACCACATTTGTTGGATGTACAAACCGAGGAGTAACAAACCCTTGCTTCCGTACCATTCCGCCCATACTAAGCTCGTAAAACGAGGCATTGTAAACATGTACTTTAGTAACGCCTTGCAGAAGTCTTGTCCACATCTGATGGCAGCTAGCTTCAAGGAACAAGCAGAACGACTTCTGGACGCTGGCTACCCCTCTCACGTACAGGTTTCCGTCGCGGGAATTCTGGTCAAGAAGCTTCAGTCCTTGCAACAAGCTTTCCCTCATGTTGAGCCAATAAGACGTCAGAAGCTGGCCGTAGTGCCTTATCTGCATGGAATCTCCCACAACTTGAAAAAGGTTGGAGAGCGGGCCAATGTAAAGGTGGTGTTTTCTGCCCCGAAAAAGCTCTCGTACTTGTGTATGAAAGTTGTTTCACATGCAAAACCGGGATGCTCTAAAAAGCACTTAACACTGTTTGTCACATGCGCGCAATTTGTAATCTATCAGATACCTCTTTCATGCGGTAAACACTACATAGGACAAACGGGCAGGTGTATTATTGACCGGCTCCGCGAGCACGCTTGCAACGTAAAAAATGGTCGAGATGGTTTTTTGGCACTACATTGCAGTACGTGTGGCTGCAAACCACTTTTTCATGGTACGGTAATCATAGGAAAAAACAGAAATAAAGTGACAAGGGAAATTATTGAAGCAGAAAGGATTAGTAGATTAGGGCTGAACTGCGTCAGCAATCCTTCTCTCGGTCTTTGTGATAAAGAATTGTCGTTTTTGAGATTATAAGTTTTTAGCGCATGGCAATAGAGGGTTTTTCATCTGTTTGTCTGTTGTTTTCGAATTTCATGAGCATATATATGTACGCTCCTTGAAATAAAATTTTGTTGGAAGTAAGCGCTCCCTTCTGTCCCTTCCCTTGTCCTATGTTTCAAAACGCGCTACGTCGATTAAGTAATCTTCTAAACCTGGTTGCGGTGAAGTATTCTACCACCGGGAGAACCTGGCATATTGGGAGATCTAGCAATGAGCGGGTTAAAGCGTCGGCCATTTCATTTATTGTCAACCCAGTGACCTGGAACCCATACTAATTTCAGGTACTTCATCTTAGACGGCTCTAAAGATCGTAACGTCGTGGTTGCACGAGAGGTATGAGAAGTTGTAAGAGCACTGCATATTTTATTTTATTTGTTTCTTGTCAATGTCACTCTTTCTCTTTTTGTAGGTTTTTTTAGTATCTGGTATTTTTCATTTCTTTCTCTTTCTACCTTATTCTCTGTTTTTATTTCTATTTGACGTGTTTGTTTATATATTTTTCTGGCTGTCTCGTTGATTTTCTACTTTTTTCTATTAGGTTTCTTTCCCTTTCTTTCATCCTGTTTTCCTCTTCCTCTTGTATTCTATAACTTTCTTTATCTCTCTTTATTTCTCTCTGTATCTTTAACATGTTCATTTTTGTTTGATACTCATGCCTTTTGTACACAATACTAGGGCTTGCCCGATTCCTAAGGCGCATACCAACTTGACAAGTTTTCTGATGACAGCTTGCGAACAACGCCGAGCTAGAACAGCATTGCTGACAAGTAATTGTCACACGGATTTTCCATCAGTAGCGTCATCTCTCAAACAGTTTCTTAAATTTCTACGCTTGTTCTGCTGGTTGAGATATCGTTGTATGCGGTCTTTTTGTTGTTGCTTTTTCATCGGAAAGGCCAATTACATCGTGACGAGACTTAGGGTTTTACTGGGAGATGTAAACACGAGCATGAACCGTTCAGGCTGGCATTCTATATAGCAATATTTCGCTTTTGTTTTTACTACTTTTTGTGGAGCTGGCGATGTCGG